TAAAAAAAAAAAAAAAAAAAAAAAAAAAGAGTACTCTTCAGTTACGGTCCCCTGGACCTTAACGTCAGCTCCTTTCTATGTTGCTTTTCAAGGGACGTTGGGCCCAATTCTCGGCAGCTGACACTCCCCACCAATAGAAAGGAATCTTTGTCAAGGTATCTTCCTGTGGATCTGGCATGTAGCTGAATGTTGCACTCATTTAACGAACTGGTCGATGAATAGATCATGGGTTCAAACTTCAAATCCCAATCAAATATGTGTGTACAATCTCACTGATATAATGATGTGAGGGTATGGGTGCGAATCGAAAACGGCAACAAAAAAGAAAAAAAAGAAAGAAAGAAATGAAACTTCTGAAAGGAAGATGACCGAGAGCGATAAACAGAAGTCCAAATTGCAAAGTCACGCTGTAGCCCAGATAGTCGTCTGTACCAAGCTGAAAGCACAATGCACAGAGCTGTCAGTCAAATAAGAGCTATATACAGTGAACTAAAATGTCAATGCTGACACTCTCTCGCCACACCAACATAGTATCCAAAGTCGCTCGTCTCCATGGGCGCTCAACGCCCAGCCAATCTGCTCAGCACCTATACTACCCTACACTACGTTCATGCAACAGGAAACACTTCGATGCCGAAGACCAATGTATGAAGACGTCGCCAATGCAAACTGCCAGCATACACCAGGTACGTGTGTCTCTCTCCTCTCAAATTGCCCCTTGTCTTCCCACAGTGTGCCTACCCGACACCCAGAGACCACCATCGCCATCACCAGCCTCCGCTGAGCAAGCCTGGCTATGGCTGCTCGGTGCCCGCTGCACCAGCAGCGCCCAACACCACAATGCGCCCGTGTGCGCCTCTTCCAGCCCTTGGGCTACCAGCAGCCTCCGGCACTCAAACCAGCAGTGCTGCTGCCAGCAAGCACACGGCCAGACTCCCCTCATGCTGCCGTGCTCACTTTCCATAAAGGAAAGTGAGCTCTGCTTTGTCGAGCTCCGGGCCTGGCTGGACGAGTTTCCAGTGGCTTCCGGTCGGGCCCCAGTGTCCGCGCCAAGGCCCCCAGTTGCTTTTACGAGCCTGGGCCCTTTACGGTTGGGCATGCCCAGGTAGCCGACAAGGCTTCAAGTGTTCGACGCGATCTCATTGGCTGCTGGCCAGTGTGTGACGAAGATGCTGCATTCTCATTGGTCTGCGGCCATTCTGTGATGTGTCGGCCTCTGGTGGCTCACGCCCAGGGCCTCAACTGTACTTGCCCTGGGCTGAACTGCCTCTCGAGCTGCTCTGCTGCTTCCGGCAGAAGCCAGGGAAAGGCTCACGTTACCCTGTAACCAACTGGCTGGTGTGCTGCAACTGTCTGCTACCCCACATGCAAAATTGACAAAAATAGGCCTATCGTAAATATTCTGGCCCGCCTTCACTTAGGGCGGGCACAAGTCTGTACGGGGCCTCAGCCGAGATGTGGGGTGAGCTGTAGAAGGGCCACTGCGAAGATTCAGGCCCGCATATAGATTCCAACAGCCCTTTAGCGTGATCACAATGGCCTGTACCCAGGCTTTGGCACATATTGGCAGGCCCGCCTTCACTTAGGGCGGGCAAGGCCTTTTCCAGCACTGCCGAGGGCTCAAATCCTCGCAGAAAGGGAAAAGAGTCAAAAGACAAAGGCTATCCTCATTTGTTTCTGAACACTTTTCTGTTTGTGTTATCTTGCGCAGGCCATGGACGCTTTGCGTGAGAAATCAAAGGCTGAAGCAGATCTCAAAGCATCCCAGCAAGAGATGCTAATGTGGTGTGAAAAGCATAAGGCAGTTTCCCTCAAACTGGATGAATTAACCAGGGTAAGGTTACCAAAGTTACTGAAAAGAGTTACTGAGATAAAAACTAATTACTGAGGTGAATGTACTGAAGTAAAGTTCCCAAAGTAAAAATATTAAAATATTAAAATACTGAAATAAACCAGGGTAAGGTTACCAAAGTTACTGAAAAAGAGTCACTGAGATAAAAATTAATCACTGAGGTGAATGTACTGAAAGTAAAGTTACTGAGGTAAAGTTGGCAAAGTAAAAATGTTAAAATACTGAATTAAACCCGGAAGACGCATGAAGTACAAGTACCAAGTCGAAGAAACAAATAGCGGAAAAAAAAAAAAAAAAAAAAA